GGAGACCATTCACTTGTGTTTAAACCACACACACACACACACACACACGCTTGCACGCACGCCCCAAACAAACGAAAAAGCTTTCCCTGCATTCTGATGTGGAACAACAAAGTAAGGATGTGTGGCTTTTGTTTTTATTGTTTTTTTCTTCTCTCATTTCTGCATCCCTTGGCTAGGAATATGTAATGAATCATTTTGGAGTTAGCTCCATATTTAGTAATCTTAGCATGACAAAAACAGTCTTATCGGGAATTGAATTGCTCGCTTGCATAGTAGCATATTGTTAGTTGATGTTCCTAATGACTTGCAATGATTGCTAGAAAAATAAGTTCTTTTCTTTTGCTTTTTCAACGTGAAGTGCCTGAAACTTCTGGCAGTTGTACAAAGTAAAGTTCCTATAAAATGATTGGCTTAAATCTTTTTTTATTAATCTGTAATGTAGACTGACACTCGTATGTGTTCTTGATAATTGGTAGGAAAACTGCTACTGCCCGTTTCGGTGCCAGATGATTAATATAAGTCTAAAGGTGCAATGAGGGTTTAAAAAAAAAAAAAGGGGGGGAGGATGCAAAGTTATACCATAAATACTTCCAAAGTAGCTAGCACTTAAAGTTGCTGTTTGTTGGTTTTGTGAAAAGTTCAGTGTCTGCACTGGAAAAATATAAGTTGAATATAGAACTTGATGTCTGTATCTTTTTTCCATTGGCCCAAGAACATTGCCAAGTTCGGCTGCAGTTTCTTTAGGTATTCTGAATCATAGAAGTCACTTTTGAATTGCTCAGATGATTTGTCAGATCACGACAAAAATGTATCCAAAAAGTAAACATTTCATTTAAGTAGCTAACCCAAAATTTAGGTATTTAAGAGAAAAGCTACTTCCCTATGAGGGTGGAGGAGATATATTTGGGTTGTAAATAAGTCACTATATTGAGACTACTTGGCAGCTGCACTCTGTGTAGGTGAGAGTTGATCCGTTATCTTAACATCTTGACTAAAACTATCAGTCAGATCATTAACAGCGTGGCCCTTGTGTTATTGTTGTAACAGTTTGTAATTTGTGTTCTTTCTTATAAAGCAAGTGTTCTAGGTTGCCTACAGACCTAGAAGGATCACGAAAACAATATTGCTTTGAATTGCATTTGAGCCATGTGCTAGAGGGTTTCTCTAACTGTGCGAGGTAGAAACTTTTGTTTTAATTGCAAATTTATTATGGATTTACCCAAATGAGAATTTCAGTGGAAAAAATCTGAGACCAGGCTATGCATCCCTTTGCTTCCCTACCTTTACCAATATTACTACAGTTTCAGCAACTGCTTGTGTTGAAAAAGTCATATTAGAAAAGCATTTAATGTAGTATTGTAGAGGTATTAAGGCAAATTATGAGCTAGAAATAAGAAGGAAACATCATGTTACTAGTCTGCTCTGACCAGAGCTCAAGCACGTGCTTTACAGACAGTTTGGTTTTCTGTTTCAGCTCTTCAGGTTCTAGTATAGGATATGACTGTTTCTCAAACAACTTGTATGCTGCGATACTTTTCCTCTTCGTTTTGAGGTGTGAAGAGAGAATAAACTACTGAAAAGTATCTGAAGAGCTCAGGGACTTTGAGAGGAACATTGGTGAAGTTGTGATTAAAAGCTGGATTCAGCCTAACTCAACAATGCGATGTAACAGTATCTAGCAAAATCTCTGTCCAAACTTTTACTAATTTTTCCCTCAGTGAATATATTCAGAGACAGATATTTATTGTTATTCCTAATTTTTAAACTGTCATTCCAAGTCCATAACTAGTAAAACCATAACAGCCACTGAAATAATAGTTAAGTTATGTGGATTGTAGCAGTTCAATTGATGAGTAAACCATTCCAGTATATTGGCATGCAGCTGCTTTGCTATGTAATAGTGTTTTTTATAAAGTATTGCCATAGCAACAGGTCTAGATGACATTGGGTAGCTGGTTGCTGCTGACTGTTGGAAATAAAACAGAGACTTGTAGCAACACATGTGTAATGTCTGAAGGTAAAGTAACCCAAAGTAAAAGCCTTTGCTCCACTGAGAATGTAGTATGGGGCACATCAAGCCAAAGTCTGACTTACTGACTTATGAATGTAATCCTTCTGTGAAAGTGTTTCTGCATGGTGAAAACAAAACTATATATGTTAGCAATATGTGCAGCAGTTGAAATCTGAAAATAACATAAAGAAAAACTGAGGGAAATTGTATTGCAGATGATTTTGAGCATAGACTATCAGTTGTTTTAAAGGCTTTCAGAATTCCAGTACCATAGGAAATGCTTCTGGGTGTGTTACTTCAATGGAAAAGAGGATATAACGAGGAATAAGAACTCTTGCACTGCTGGAAAGCCAGCAAGTGAAGAAGGCATGAGAAACAGAAAATAAAATAAAATTCAAGTTAATGTCAAAGCTGATTGAAGTACAAACAGTAAATAAATTACATGTCAGAATTACAAAAGATATCTTGATTATTTCTGTATAACAAGTATTTCAAAGATTCTTTTCCTTATAAATAGTACAGTAAGGGTAGTGTTGAATTCTGTTGGTTTTAGAGTTTCTTTTCAAGAAAAAGAAATAATTTATTGAAATTAAAATTATACTTTAAGAAATAGCAATGAAAATTTAAAAGTACAATGTTGAGTTTCAGCAAAGAGCCTGAGGAACTAATAGTAGGTACCTGTGTTTTCAAGAGAAGCTCAAAAATTTTTTCATTTTTTTTAAATTTAAAATAATTCTTGGCTACTAAAACATTGAGCCTTTGTTACATGACACTGCAGAGCTGAATACTCTGCTTTGTATTTGGATGAATATAGCAAGAGAATATCTTCAAATATCTCTATCTTCAGGGGTCTATCAAAGAAAAGTCAGTCCCTGGGAATTTTTTTCCCTTCTTTCTGTTCATTTAAAATCTCTAATAGTACAGAAGATATTTGCAAGTCCACAATAAAGAGAAAGAAAAATGTAGTCACCGTTATATATGTAGGCAGACCTGAAGAAAATTTACTGTCATAGCAGTACAGTGTTGTGCCTTCCAACAAAAGTACTGCATTAAATTAAATTGAAAAATACAATTATTTGATAGTTTCATGCACGTTTTCATCAGTTTTATGTGGAAAATACCATCTTGTTACATCAAGATTAGAACAAACCTGTTTAAAAAAAAAAAAAAGACATTCTTAAGTTATTAGGCTATCAAAAAATCCAATGTATCAGTTTATTTTTCTTATTATTTTAAAGATAAAAATACAGACATTACTGTAAAGGATAATACAGATGATTTCTGCCTTCGAGATGCATTGAGCATTGCATCAACGGACTCCTTTGTTTCCACAGCTGAGGTAAGACTCTTAAAGATTGCTTCTTTAAAGATTCTAGGTTCTGTGTGAACAGATGAATACTAGTTCCTTGCTTATTTTTGTAAGTAAAGCTTATTTATCATACGAAAAAGGCTTTCCTTGCATAGCTGTAATCAGCTTCCTAGTAGTTCAAGTAATGAAATTGGAATCAGACGGTTTGCTTATTGCCTTTTTCCTGTCCACCAGCAGCATGTTCCTCAACTCATCTTGAAAATAAGCTGCTTATGAAAAATATCTCCAGAATTTCATGAATGAAGAAGCAAAACTACTTGAGGCTGTGCAGGTTTCTTTCACCACAAATTACATTTTTCTG